AAAAAAAATATGGATGAAATTCATTTGTAACCACAAAAATAAACCCCAAATGACCAAAGTTCTCCTAACTAAAATGGAGGAGAATGGAGCTATCACAGTAACAAACTTCAAACTATTCTACAAAGCCATAATAAGTAAAACTGTATGACACTGGAACAGATACACAGAACCAAAAAAATGGAAATAAACCTACATATTTATGCACAATTAATCTTTGACAAAGGAACAAAGAATATGCAATGGAACAAGGACAATTTGTCAATAAATGGTGCTGGGAAAACTGACTGCTACATACACAAGAATGAAATTAGACTATGTCACACCATGCACAAAAACCAACTCAAAATGGACAAAGAAACTGAACATAAGACCTGAAACCATAAAATATATAGAAGAAAATATAGGCAAAATACTATGTGACATACATATTAGTAATATCTTTAAAGACATACTCCAAAGCAAAAAAATGAAGGAAAAAATCAACAGCCAGGAATACATCAAAATAAAAAGCTTCTGTACAGCAAAAGAGACACTAACCAAAATGAAGAGACACCCTGGTGACTGGGGAAAAAATTTTGCACACAACACAACTTATAAGGGACTGATTACAATGATCCACAAAGAGCTGGCATGACTCAACAGAAGCATAGTAAATAATACAATCAAAAAAAAAAAATGGGGAGAAGAGCTAAAAAGACACTTCTCAAAAATAAAATGCAAATTGCCAACAGGTATATGAGGAAATGTTCACCATCACTTTTAATCAAGGAAATGCAAATCAAACCCACAATGAGACACAATCTTACATCAGTGAGAATGGCACATATTAAAAGCAGTAGACAATAAATGTTGGCAAGGATGTGGGAGAAAGGGTGTGGGAGAAAGGGAGCTCTCCTACACTCCTGGTGGGAATGCAAACTGGCCCAAGCACTATGGAAATCTGTGGAGGACACTCAAATTCGGAAAATGGAGCTACCATATGACCCAGCAATTCCACTCCAAAGAATCTACCCAAAGGAGAGAAAAACATTAATTCAAAAGAATACTTTCACCCCTGTGTTTATTACAATCAATGATATGAAACATCCCAAATGCACAAAAATAGATGACTAGATCAAGAAGATGTGGTATATACACACAATGGAATACTACTCCACAGTCAAAAAGATAAATCCATGTCATTCACAGCAACATGGATTAATCTGGAAGGGAATGTGCTAATGAAATAAGCCAGAATAAAAAGAAAGATATCAGATGGTTTCACTTATAGGAGAAAAGTTGGGGAACCAATTAAGGGATCAGGAAAAAATAATTATAATAAATTAAAAAATTAATAGGCAACTATTAATCATAGACATTCTGCAGGGGATGGGAAGGGTGAGTGATCAAAATAGGGGAGGGGAGAGCACAAGGAATTATGGCAATGGTACATGGGTGAATTGGTGGTGGGTTTTTTATGGGGACTACACCTGAAAGATGAAGCATACATTGTACAAAAAGGAAGAATAATATAAAATATAAATAAATAAATAATAAGTAAAATATTAGCAAACTTAAATAGCATATTACAAATATTAGTCATCATGACCAAATGGGATTTATTCCTGGGTTGCCAAGGATGATTCAACATATACAGATCAATCAATGTGATAAGCCACATCAACAAGATAAAGGGTAAAAGTCAAATGATTATCTCAATATATTCAGAAAAAGCATTAGAGGGGGAAAAAATCAACATTCTGTCATGATAAAACATAAATTAGATCACATCTTAACATGGTGTCATATATGACAAGCCCAAAACTAACACACTCAAAGGTGAAAGGCTGAAAGAATTTTCCTTAAGAGAAGAAATAAGATAAAGTTGTGCACTCCTATCCAGTCACTACTATTCAACATAATGCTCAAAAGTTCTCCCCTCAAGAAAAAGAAATTTAAAGTACGAGGATTATAAAAGAAGTAATACTAGATCTTTTTGAAGATGAATGATTTTACATATAGAAAATCCTTAAGACTTGATAATAAAACTGTTAGATTTCATTAATGAATTCAGTAAAATTAACATGCAAAACTCAGTAGCATTTCTACATACAAATAACATATCTGAAAAATAAATGGAAGTTAAAACTTTTTTAAAGAAATTGATCCTATGTATAATAACTCATAAAAAACAACATATGTACTTGGGAATAAATTTAACTAAGGAGGTACAAGATATCTATACTTAAAAACTGTAAGAAATTAATGAAATAAATCAAAGAAGAGAAATAAATGTATATGTATCCCAAGTTCATGGACTAGAAGAATATTGTTAAAATGTTACGGTCCACTCTTAATTGACAAAGGGGTCAAGAGTTCTCAATGAAGATTATCTCTTCCATAAATAGTGCTGGACAATCGATATTCACATGTAAAATAATGAAACTGGACCTTATCTTACTCAACACAAGAAAATCAACTTGAAATGGATAGATTTATATGTAAGATCTGCCACTATGAAATAACTAGAAGAAAGCATGGCAAAAGTTATTGACATGGGCCTTGGTAATAATATGACACCTGAAATATAAGTAACAAAATAAAAAAGAAACAAGTAGATCACATCAAGCTGAAAAGTTCTGCATAGCAAAGAAATCATTAATAAAGACAGCCTAGAGAATTGGAGAAAATATTTGTAAATCACATATCCAATAAGTAGTTAGTATACAAAATATATAAAGAATTCATACAACTCAATATTTAAAAAAAAAGACCCAATTGAAAATTGGCAAAATTCTTGAACAGACATTTCTCCAAGCAACATGCTATGACTAGTATTCAGTCATAAAAACCAAGGACATCTTACCATTTGCAATATGGATGGGTCTTAAAAGTATCACGCTAAGTGATATAAATCATACAGAGAAAAAATAAACACTGTATGATCTCACTCATGTGGAATCTAAAAAAGAAAAAACTTACAGAATGAAATCAGCCTTGTGGTTTCCAGATGTGGAAGGCTGTGGGGAGGGGAATTGAGGTATAATTGGAAGAAAGTGGTAAAATGATCCAGACCTTTGGTTACAAGATAAGTAAGTACTAGGGACATAAAATATAACATAATGACTGTTAGCTATAACACTATGATATGATATAAGCTTAAAGAAAGTAAACCCCAACAGTGCTCATCAAAAAGAGAATAGAGGAATTTTTCCTTTTTTTTCTTCTTACTGTGTCTACATTAAAAAAAAAACAAAAAACAATGTGGACACTCCCTGGTGGCACAGTGGGTTAAAGCGCAGCACTGCAAGCTAGCAGCCACTTCAGTGCACGTTAGATCCCCAGAGGGGACCTCTCCTGACCCGCCCGCTGCTCCCCTCAGCAGTGTACTTCATCCATCTGCCTGTTCTGCTCCCCACTCTGTCTCTGGTGAATCCTCTTACCACCCCCCACCTCTGGCCTGCACCCCAGTTCTGCATGCATAAATTTTTAAAAAATCCTTAAAAAAATAATGAAAGACCAATGTTAGCTGTTCTATTATGATAACTATTTTCTAATATATGCAAATCAAATCAAAAGGTATACCTCTAATTTATATAGTAACGTGTATAAATTATTTCTCAATAAAACTGGAAAAAAAAGAACAGAATTGATTGCCCAGTAGACCAATTCTCAAAATTGAAAAATCACACCATAGGCTGTTTTCCTTGTTCCCATATCCAGTTTTCTCAGTTTCTTCCCAGTGCATGACATTTAGAGTCCAAGGCCAGCTGTGACTTCACACTTTTTGCTTCAAAGCTTATATTGTTCAATTATCATCTTCCCAGCCTCTCCCAGTAACGTCTGCTGCCAGTCACAACTCTTTTCTGGTTTCTGGTTTTTATAAGGCACTGAGCTCACTTCCAGAACTTTCCCAGCATGAGAATGATGGACGCTTCCACATTTAAGAATGAAGATGAAAGAGATTCCTTTGAGTCTCTCTGACCTCCTCACATCCAGAACTCAAGGCCCATGATGTAAAGGGAAGGAAAATCAGACTCAATGCAAATCACATTAATCACAAATCTACTGTTAATAATCAACCAATACTTATTACAGTAAAAACAGAACATCCTGCTTCTTTTCTGCATTACATACTTGCTAAAGAGTGGAACATAAATGCTTTTATTGATGGGACTATCAAATAAAGTCATTCATGCAAATAGTTTTCTTTTGATGCCAAGGATATGTTGCCAGGGAAGAGCTATATACTCAGCTTTTGATTTGAATGGAAGTACCTGGAGCAAAAAGAGTTAGCATGTGGGTTTCAGTATTTACTTCAAATAAAAATGGCAAATTAACCTCAATGTACACTCATCCCCTTAAGGATATTCCTCCCCCAAGAGGATAAAAGAGAGAGGCGACATAAGCAAGTAAGAGAAACTCCAAGTAATTATGCTGTCGTTTTCCTGCCTCCTAGAACTCAGCCCTACCAACAGAGTCAAATGCAGAATGAAGCAAAATAATTTAAATTCTAGGTTTTAAGCTTCCACAGATCCAGTACCTGGTGAGAGAAGTTTGCAAGAACTATTTTGACTTTCTTTTTTCCTTTCTATGATGAGCTGCTTAAGAAAACATGTGGCTGGAATAGCCATAAATTTAGTCTAAAGATGTCCTGACACTCCATGTTTATGTGTCAGATATTACAGAAGAGACCCTACCCAAGACTTCTAAGGGTCAGCAAATCATATTCCATACTGCAAAGAAAGAATATAAGCAATCAAAAAAAATGCACACCCTTAAAACATACATAGTATACACGTGTATTTTCACAATATCAGGCCCAGAAATAGAATGAAGCAGTTTAAAAAAAAAAATACAGGTCAGATCATCTCTATAAATCAAACAGAAAAACCCACATACCTGGTTACTGCCCGAGTACAGATGGTGACTAGGAAACAGCCAGCTACGATCATCCAGCCCCAGCCTCCATCTGGAGGGGAGATGGACCGAGCTCTGTTTACTTTTGACATGGCTTCAATTCTTTTTCTTATTTTCCAAATCACTACTACAGCCCAGTTTTGATGTTGGAAGAATAAGCTGTCCAGTGACTTCCTGTTGGCATTCAAGATTGGCATAGAATGCTACCTGCTGTATGGATTACTGGCCATCTAAAATAAAAAATAAGGACATATTATATTTTGTTCCCATAGTCAATTGTTGACTTTTTGCATGGTTAAAATGATACTGTTTACCTGTTCAGTATAATAGTTTGCAATTATAAAACTGGACCAAGGCCAAGACCGTTAACTGTCCCTGATGCTCATTCTCCTTTTTTTTTTTTTTTAAGATTTTTTTATTTATGCATACAGAACTGGGGTACAGGCCAGAGGTGCAGGGGTGGTAAAAGAATTCACCAAAGACAGAGTGGGGAGCAGGACAGGTCGACTGACGAAGTACACTGCTGAGGGGAGCAGTGGGCAGGGCAGGAGAGGTCTGCCTCGCCATGTGGATCACCTCTGAAGTGGCTTTAGCTTCTTAGTGCTGTGCTTAGCGCTGCACTTAGTGCTGTGCTTAGCCCCAGGGAGGACCCTCATTCTCCTTTTTTAAAATAATAGATCCTCTCAAGTTTTAACTAACTCCATGTGCACTAGTTGATGTTAATTTTCCTATCCTTTCTTGAAGATGAATGTGGCAACATAGTTTCACTTAATGAACAGGGAAGAGAGAAAAAAGTAATCTGTGCCACTTCTGATTCATCAACTCAAAGGCACAGGTATGTTCACAGGACTTCCACCACCCCCTTACCCACAGACATGGAAGTAGAGAGGAGACACTTTACACACAATGGAATACTAATGACAGGTCATTGCCGTAGGGCCTGGCAGAGCCACAGGACAGGAGTGAGGTCTCCAAATGACCCAGTGGAGACAGGACTTCATACACTTCTCACTATTATGTTTTTCCCTTTTATTTGAGCCTCTGTCTTTTGAAATCTCTATTACATTGGCATAGATCATGTTCTTATAATTAAACTGAATGATTCTAACAATACTTCTTGGATATTTCTGATTAAGAATGCTATGATTTTTTAGCAGGAGTATAATAGACCAGGCAAGAAAATAACAAGAATAATGAACAGCCATATACCAGAGACATTTTGTGGGGGTGGAGTGGGGAATGGGATCAAAAACTGGGGGGTGGGGAGGGAAGTGCATGGGATTGTGGTGATGGCACAGGGGTGACTTGGTGATGGGAAACCTGCGGGGATTACAATTGAGATGGAAAAAAAATGTACAAAATAATGTAAAAATAAACTGTTATAAAAAAAACCTTATAAAAACAAAACAAGAAAAAAAAGAATGCTATGATTTTTAAAGCATGCAATTGAAACAAGAAGAGAGTGAGAAATAAAACAGAGGGAGCTCAGACACTTGTACATAATTCAATAAAACTAATAAGGAGTCAAAGATGAATGAAGAAGAAGAGATCGCTCACCCAAATTACAACTCTCCATTTAGTTCTTGACCTTCTTATTGATAAATCAGAGTAAAACATCCACCCGTAAGCAATGATTAAAAATCTAAGTGAGGCCCTCCCTGGTGGCGTAGCGTGTTAAAGCACAGCACTGAGAAGCTAAAGCCACTTCCGCATGTGTTCGATTCCCGCCTGCCCCGGAGGTGACCACATGGCGTGGCAGACCTCTCCTGACCCGCCCACTGCTCCCCTCAGCAGTGTGCTTCGTCCATCTGCCTGTTCTGCTCCCCACTCTGTCTCTGGTGAAGTCTCTCGCCGCCCCCGAGCCTCTGGCCTGTACCCCAGTTCTGTATGCACAAATAAATAAATCTTTAAAAAAAAAAATCTAAGTGAGTCCCTCCCTGGTGGCGCAACGGGTTAGGACGCAGCACTCCAAGCTAGACGCAGCTGCTTCAGTGCAAGTTCAATCCCCAGCCCCTGAGGTGACCCATGTGGCTCAGCAGATCTCTCCTGATCCGCTCTCTGCTCCAGCCTATGCAGTGTACTTTTCACTCTACCTGTTCTACTCCCACCTGTCTCTGGTGAGGCCTCTCATCACCCCTGCATCTCTGGCTTGTACTCCCATTCTGTATGTATAAATAAATAAATTTTTAAAACAAAATCTAAGTGAAAATACAACCAAAAAAGTAGAAATACAAGCAAGCAAGCCATCTGCTCTCTAGCCACATAGCTCCCTGAGTATCATGGAAGACACTAAAATTTTTTAGATTTGTCTAAATTATATATCAGAATATGTAGTTAATAAAACCAAAGGAAAACTGTAGAGTTGGAATAAAAAACTTGAATATTTAATTCAACAAAATAATATCTGTAACAGTCATTTGTTCAAGTGCCAGCACGTCAGCCTGTCTACCATGGTCAGGCACTGTTTCAGGTCACTGGGGATTCCATGGCGACTGACTTACACAGTTCCTTCTGCCGGACTGGCTGTAAGTCATCCCCCAAGACCAGCCTTCTTCTCTGGCTCCTGTCCACATGTTAATCCGCCCCTTGACTTGTTCCTAATCAGAACATGGCACAGTTGACAGGACATGACCCCCATGGCTACATCCCACCACGCCGTGTTTAGTCAGTCTCGTTAGCAGCCTCCTCTCACTCTCGTTTGAAAGAAGCGCCAGTTGCACCTGTCTGTGGAGGGGCCATGAGGCAAGGAAATATGGAAGCCCGCGGGAGCTGAAGACAGTCCTAGGCAAAGGCAACAAGCTAAATCTCTCCACCTCTTAACACAAAGAAAATGATCTTACCAACCTGCCAGGTAAGCTTGGAAGCAGATTTTCCCTACTCCAGCCTCCGAAGGAGAACACCTGCCTGAGACATTGTAGCCCATGAGACCTTGTGCTGAAGACCCAACTCAATTGTGCCTGGATTCTTGCCCCACATACACTGTAAGGTATTCCTTAGAGTGTTCTTTGATATCAGGCATGCTTCTTTATTACAGGTAGTGATGAATTTTTTTTTAGATTTTATTTATTTATTCATACAGAACTGGGGTACAGGCCAGAGATGCGGAGGGTGAGAGGATTCACCAGAGACAGAGTGGGGCGCAGAACAGGCAGATC